TAGATCCCCATGGTCCAAAGATTGAATGAAATTTATCCTCGCATAGTGCGAGACGTGCAGATAAGAGTAAAGAGATCATTGGAGTGGAGCGTGTTGGTGAGGAACATCCGATGTGGTTGTGTACATAGTGCGAATCAGGTGCTTGAAACATGAGGAGCCGTATGCTAAAGCTGTTTAAGCGTAGTGCACTGTCGCTGATTAAACATGTAAGTGTAGTCGGACGAAGGCGGAGGTATGCCCAGAACTTGTGAACTGTGGTATCGGTCAACTTGCCACTATGTGGTAGGGGCAGGGGCATATCGAGTGGCGAGTCGAATTCGCGACGTCACAGTGTTCTTAAATGGAAATTTTTGGCTTTTTGTAGGGAAAACGGTTGCCAGACGAACACCCACTATCTCCTTGAACACTGCCCGCATTATTGTGCCGAACGGCTGAAGGTCGACTAATTATCTTTTTTCGGGTGGGGCGAAGACATCCCATGTTTGTCAAATCCACGGATCCCGGCCACTGCCACTATGCTGCTCACTTTACATAAAACGCTTGCGGTGTGCTTAACACTTCCGTTGCTTTGCTAAGTGAAGCTTTCCTAACCGTTGTCGGAGGGAGTTCACCAATCGGCTTCGCTCATGTGTTTGTTTATGGATGGGGCTTTTCTCCGGAGCCCGGATGGAAGGCCGCTGCGGAGCACATACCTGGAGTCCAGCATCACTGTTGAAGTTCGCCTGGATTGGAACACTAATTGCACAGTCCTCGGGCCACAACCATTTTACATTGCCGACCTGCGCAGCCTCTGGACGCATGGCGCCATAACGTTTTCCAGTAATAGGGTCGTTCGATTACCACATTAATGTTGCAGCTCTTGCGTGATCACGCTCAGCATGCGCTCATCATGAAAGCAACCCACAGGCACATCGTGTACAAACAGCCTTGGCTGTGGGCCCCTTCCCATATTCCTCCAAGTCCTGTCTCGCCTTTTTGCGATAGATTGATGGCATAACCGGGAATAGGCGGATGAAGCATGGAACTATTCTGGAAGTGAACCGTGGGCGGATGTCAGCGCAACTTCGTAACGTCTCGTTTTACCGTACTGCTGTGAGTTTGGGTAACGATTACGCATGTCATGTTGACGGGCTTAGCTACCCCATTTATAATATCACATATTACAACCACTGGTACACTTCACCGCTTTCTTTTCCTTTTAAGTAATTTGACGGTCATTCTGGAACGTTTCAATAGCTTAGGCCACACCACCCAGCTTATCTGCATGCAATTGCTGGAGGTTGACTAAGGACAACTTTGCCTTCTTCAGTTAAGCGGGGACCAGTGGGTGTAGCTGAAGGCCTAAGACTCCGGTTACCTTCGGCAACAACCAGCTTCAACCAACACTAAATAAATAAATAAAGCTTTTATTCTCGACAAGGCGAGGCACGCCTTTACGGGCATGATCATTTTGACAAAACAATGCGTGAACAAGCATGGGCAAAAATCCGATATGTTGGCCATAACAGTGCTTGTTTGTGCAGGGGGTATGTAAGTATGTAATTGTGTGTGCCTTTATATAGCTGGGTAGTTTGCGCTTGTAACCGTTCTGCTCCAGTCCTGAACGTTTGCTCTCATCAGCAATGTGCGATTAGAAGATTGGTGTCCGTGGATTGGAAAGGATTATCCAGGTATACACGGGACAGTGTTTTTATTTTGTGCCGAGCCACGACCACCACGTCACAGTGTGGTTAAACGGACATATGTGGCTTTTTATAGGGAGAACGCTTGCCAGGCGAAAACCCACCACGTCCTGGAACACTGCCGTCGAACAATTAGCTGGAAAGGGCTAAACCCGAACCACCCAGCTGGCACCACGAGGAGGTTGTTCGGCAAGCCATCCAAGCCAGCCAATGGTGTCGACGTCATTCTGAAACATCTAAACCGTCAGAGTGTGGACGAGGCCCTGGCTGCACTTGTTCCAATCAGAATAGCGATGGCTGTTTCAGGCGAATTTGAGCAATTGGGGTTACCGACGTTTAAAGCAACAGGCGCACGTTCTTATCATGATCACAGCGAAAGTTCGCAGCTTTGAAGCGGAGCATTTTGGGAGTATTGGGCTTGTGCTCCGTCACGCCATCTTCAAACGATTTGCGTTCAGGGTTTTTTATTTGTTCAATCGTTGCCTCCAGTCATTGTGATGCTGCGATAGTTCGTATACAATCTTTACCAGTAGGATGACCACATATGTTAACAGGACCCCAGAGGACCTAGTCAATTGTCGTTTATATGCAACTGATTTACTGTAAGCTTAGGTCGCTTAGTAGGTAATTGGAACACTATTTTCTGTTAGTACATGCATCTGGCTTGAAGAAAAGCCACCTGCTACTGTCGAGCTGATTACGGCAAACTAGGCTTTTAGTTGGTCGCAAAAAACTAGTTCATTGATCGAGGCCATTCCGGTGAATGACCGACCCTTTGTAGTTGCTTGCGAGTAGGCTGCGCTGCGCAATTTAAATTCGACCCAGTTCATGCCTCAAGCCCGACGGCGTAGATTTAGGCGGCTAGATCGTTTATTCGTTAAACAAAGTGACTGAGTGATACGGACACGAAGTGTGTTGCTTCTACTTGCATGGCGGTCAACATTTGTGATATATGAGTTGTTGGGTAGTTCGCGTAGTTGGCTTTTCTTTGAGACCACAATTGTCGATGTGTGGTTTGAATTTCGGAACATCCCTCTATTACGTTTCTGCATGAAAGGCGAGAAAGCTGCTTCGTGGAGGTAAAAGATGCCTGAAACTTGTTTGGTCCGAAAGACTGTATAAACTAGAAAACACTTTTGAATCTGGATAGAAAGGGTGATGGCACGCGCGCGTGTGTGTAAAGAAGTATGCCACAAGCCGATTTGAGCACGATCCCGGAGGGTCCAAGTCCGCATGGCTCGGTGTGTTGCATCAATAATGCGATGGATGGAAATAAGGACGAAGTAATGTTTGAGGAACACGACGAGGTCGAGCGCAGGGAGAGTGAGGGTGACGTTATTTACCCTGGGGTCCCAATGACAGACAAGCAGCTTCAGTAACTGTTTAGAGCTTCTGAATCAGTTCTTGTTTCAAAGGATTCGAGGAATTCGTATTACTACAGTGCAGGGTTTGGAGCTAGGAGACTATAAATGTATGTGTTGTTCTTTGCTGTCAAGTTTATTTACCTTGTGAATGTGCTTGTTAATGTCTGATTATGTAGCTCTATGTATAGTACTGTTACTGCCGTCCGCGGCGGATGTCCAATGTGCATTATGCCGAGAATTTTAGACACAAAAATAACATGCCTGCAGTGCTGCGTAGACACTGTACAAAGAAATGAGCATACCCTCCATCATTAGCGGATAGTGTTAAAGGAGGCAGGGACAGCGGTGCACAGTGAGTTTTAGGGCGGATTTTACCTGTGAGGTTTTGAAATGGTGTATAACATTTCATTAGCCGACACCAGTTTACAGAAGTAAAGAGCTGTCCAAACATGAGTGGTACTCGTAGATGGTTTGATTAAGCTATTAAAACCCCTTAGAAAGGTATCACACCGTATGTAGCGTGCGACTGGTTAGCACCAATTGTCCAGCTGTATACCTATGTCACAAGTGACGAAGCGATGGAGCCTGAGTTGAAATGGTTGGTGAAAGTAAGAGGAAGTGGTGGTCGCCCGCCGAACGAGAAGAAAGGAAACAAACATCAGTTGCTTTCTAACTGAGGATGAACCAACTTCTTGCATTATTACGCGCTGAAAGTTTGCCTTCGGGCCTGCTGCAGTGAAAACTGCTAGGAAAAGTGAAAATAATAAAGGTCTAATCGTTTTATTCAGTGTCTGTTCCGTTGTGATCGTCTTAATTTAGGTGCTGCTTAACAAGCCAAATCTGTAGCAGCTGACTAAAATGGTGTTCGATCGGACTTCTTTAACTATTTAGCAATTTAACAATTCAGGGCAATGATGTCTAAGTGCCACCTTTGATACCATCGTTGAAACAACATAAACTGCGTTATGTATATTACACATCACGCAAACACAGAAATATGTCACATTAAGACAAGATACTGAATACACGAGAGATTATTGGTTTGATGAGTTAAGATGCTTTGATGGATTCCAGTTGTCCTAAGCAAACAATCAAAACCCGTTGTCAATAGAGATTGGTTATGTTGCACTAACAGAAAAGCATGCAGATCCACAGGGCAAAAGCTACTGCAGGTAAAATACGTATAACTGACGAAATAGACCTTGTCAGCATTGAAGGAAAATAAATAAAACTGATAGTGGTGCCCAATTATCCATGACGCATTGCGTTCAAAGCAGGAAGGCTTAGCAAATATTGATAAGCAGCGAATGTTACAGAAGTGCTTTTATGTGCAACGTGGGCGGGTGATGATTTAACCAACCTGAATGAAAAATAACTACTAATAATAAACAAATGCACAGCCTTTGCGTACATTGCAGTGGTCTCAAAAACGGATAGCAATATTAGTAAATTTTCAGCTCTCAATAACACGTATTATTACTGCTGTATTCAACTACACCAAACTTTCCCTTACCAAGCTCTGTTAATGCTTCGGCTTAAATGAATACTTGGTGAAATAGTACTGTCCATTGCTTGAGTAATTATGTCTGAAGAGGGAGTGGAAAGGGGAGAACAAATCATTTTCATTAGTAATATTGACACTTACGTTTCCAAAAATATCGGAAAGGCAGGTTAAATCAAATATAGATCTTGACATCTGCTAGTATCTCTCGACCCAAATCCCCGGAGTTGCCCAGGAAGATGAAGAGCCGGAATACGCAATAGGAACGGATCGTGTGAGCGAGCCAAATGGCCCTCCTGACGCCCGTCAGGGTTGTTTCAAAATCGCCGCCACAGAAAGCTGTCGGAAGTGCGCAAGAGAAATAGCATTTGTCAACGAAATGCTTGATGTAACCTTACTTGTCCGTCATTTCTCAGAAAGTATGACAAAAAAACCAGGTTTATAGAACATATAATGAAATATGATGCGGTTATATTTGATCTCAACGCGAACCCCAATCAAATCGATGAAGTCCTTTGGGTTGCAACAGAGATGGAAAAAGCGTCTGGAAATTTTGAAACCCAGAAGAAATTTATCCTTATATCTAATTTGTTGAGCTGGACAACGACAAAACCAAATGATCCCGTAAGCTTTGACAAAAGCTTTTTCCTACTACTTTCTCTTACTCTTAATTCGCTACTGTATAACCAATCATAATAGCCGTTATGTTCATCGGAACAAGTCCATTTCTTATCTATGACTTACGCAGCTGTTTATGCAAGAATAAGAAATAATAGAAGTAATGTGTCAGCTGTACGCCGTAATGGCGCTTCGCTTCCCTGCGACCATCACCAGTCGCACGCGGGCTGAGCATACCGCAAGGACCCCCACCCCTACGCGGATTCTAACCCACGCCGAGGGATTACGAGCCAAACTCGTTATCTCTATGCTACTGGCCGATAGCTTGGAATAAATCGAACACACGAGAAGTCGTCGAACAAGTAGAATGCAGTAGGACAAAAAATACACAAAAATTTAATTTAGCCACGGAGAACTTCTTGCTTTATATAAACGACAATGGGTTTTACCCGTGCCATTGGATTCAGCCTGACTTTAAGACTTAACTGCTCCTAACTATCAATTGTCTTCACTTGTTTCCATTTTCTATAGAATCCAATTCTACAACGGCATCTGCTCTGGTAAATAATGAAGACTCGCCCAATCTCCGGGCTGTGGAACGACCGTCTTGTGCTCAGATCACCTTAGGTCATGGCACCTTTAAAGGACGAACTAGACTTTTCCTAACAAACGTTTTGTTTTCTGTGCAGCCTTGAAAACCAGGGCTTTTGACACTAAAACCTTGGGGTTACTCTCCTTGTTTCTGAAAAGGAAATAAGGCAAGAAAAGGAACAACCTATGTACTTTCTTGGATCATAGACAACATGAGTTGAAGTTGTAGTAACGTGCCCAACAGCGGAGGATAGTTCGCGCTATATCCTAGTTAGTTTGCTAGCTATGACGATCTGTCAACATCCCCCATGGCTCAGTGGCCTAAGCTGCCGGCTAGTTGTCGCAAGATGCTTTCGGCCATGCGCTCAGTTCCGCAAAGCAGCTAAATGAGATGCGCAATACTGCTGATCCCTTATGGGGCGGAGCGTTCTACCGGTGCCTTTACAGATGCTTTATTAGACTACTTAGATTGTGTGCTGCTGTAATGAATCAGTAAATGTTTCTCGAAAAGCCTCCTACCTGGGAATAAGGTTTACTCAGTTTGAAAAAATTCAGGATAAAGAACCGACCAAAACTTGTCTCAACTTTGTCGACCGGTAGCAGGGTGGCCTGCAGGTTTGGTTTACAAGCATAAGGTCATCGGTTCGAATCCGTATAGGGGTGGGGGTTCTCGAGGTATATTCAGCCTGCGCTGGACTGCTGGTGGTCTCGCTGCAGCGAAGCGTCGTTTCGGCGTACAGATGACACATCATATTATTAGTATTATTATATATGCCTTGACTTTTGATGAGATCTACAGTGGCACGTACCACTAAGGCAAAAAGAGGCTTGTTCAGACTACAAAAATACACTATTCGCAAAGAATTTCTCCGTAATTTCCTATCGGGATTTTCGATGTTTTATCTCATGTCACAGCAGATGGTCGGATGTAACTAGTTTAACCAGTTAGGTAGGCTTGATATCGTCGGATTCCTTTTTAACCTGCTTCACTCTGGGGAAAACAGTTCTAGGCCTCTTAGTCGTTCATCTTATGACCGTTTACGTTAGCTCTCAGGCACTTTAGTCGCCATTTTCTTAACCTTTTCTGTAGGATTACCATCCTTTCGGAGATACGGCGCCCAAGTCTGCACCAGACTTTAAGTGAGGTTGTAACAATGAATTATATAACGGAAAGAACCTTTGAGTTATAAGGTTTCATAATGTTTGCTTGGAACGGAATAGCTCGTGAGGCGGTTTACTGGTGTATGCCAAAACTATTCTTAGGGTTTGTAGTCATTCTTTACACTGATACCCAGATCACTTGCTTTATCAATGCGCAACAGCTCTACGGTACCATTAAAAGATTTATCATAACCACATCGCTAATGGAAGGTAATAGTCATCGCTTGTTAGTAATACGTAACAAGTCCCTCGAGGGTGGCCATTTTGTTAGCGTGCAATGGTTTTTAGAAGAATTGTTTCGATTGCCCCTGTTAACGAGTTTTAATTCGTGTGCAGTGATATAATAGAGGTTGTCAAGTGACGGCCTACGTCATTAGTATATATTAAAGCAATGGCAAGTCTAAAACATTAACTGCAATCAGTGCCTTGTTTGAGTTAGAGTCGCCAGCCGTAAAACAAACTGTTCTCCTTCAGCGAAATTTTCCCATACATTTTAATGGTTAGGAGTGTATCCCAAACCCTATAACCTTCTCCAGTAAGTGACAATGATTAAAGTAGTCACATGTTTCCATAAGTCCGTGTAGCGAACTTTTAATGAAATCCAATATTCTAGACAGCGAGTTATTTCATCCAAAAAGCAAAGAATTTCTAAGGCATGACTTCTTGGCAGCGGTCTTACTTCGCCCCTATCAAGTTATGTGTATTTAAGTTCCTACAAATTTGTTTCTTGTCAATTTTATGTAGTTGAGCAAGACGCTGGTGAAATTGACGGGCCTGCAATTGTAAGAGATTGAATATGAATCCCTTTGGGTATTTACATGACAACCGCCTTCCTCTGGTCTTGTGGTGGCTTACCTTTCCGTGGTGACATGTTGAATAAATCCAAGACAGAATACCGTAGTAGGTCAGTGATCGGTTTGCTAACTGCAGAATGCACGGTTAAGTCTATCGACCTGTAGGTGTTCTAATGTGCTAAGACATCAAGAACCTTTGACACAATTAGTGGTTGCGTGTAGTATTTTGCTCTCAACTTGACGATGAGGTTGTGTGAGGATAAGGTTTCCATTATGTACAAGATGCTGTTTTTAAGGATGCACATCCACCATCTAGCCTTACTTGCATCAGTTGCAGCATGACGACTGATCTCCATCATTATGTTACAGACCTCCTCTCTCACGGTCGCATTCCATTGTACATTACTATAATACTTATTTCGCCTTGCTTCTACATTCTGAGCTCACCTAAGCACAAAACGGTATTTCGTACGTACATGTGTAGTGACCTGGAAATTCCCCCATATGACTGTGTAAGCTATTCTCAAATATATACAAATTATAGCTTTCTTATGTATTAGGGCATTAGGCAGTTTGCCTGTTGGAAACACGAACACGATCTCCGCCTTTGGCGCGCGACTCGGCTGCAAACTACGCTCCGTCTACTCTCTCGACGCCAACTACATTCTCCCTAGCTAGCTCTCTTCCGGTGCCCTATTTTTGCTTCAGCTAACTCTCCTCCCGTCCAATAAACTTTTACCATAGCTTAATTTGTGCTCTACCAATTGCTTTTGGTTAGCCGTCTGGTTTCGCACCGGATATATAACGCATGATCATTGCGTTATACATGCAACTTAACTGTCAAACTTTGGCATTTTGTATAATGTGGTCAAAATTTAAATCCTTTGGGTTCCTAAAGCCTTAACCAAGCATCTTTACGCTTTTTGTATCGCTCGATGTATTCTTCGATACCACCAGAGGATACTACTAACATTTTTATGTAGCGCAATGAAGCGAACTAACCCAAAGTTAAGCGAGCCCAGTTTGTTCAAGCTTTATCGCGGTTCTAACGTGACATGCGCTTGTTTGGGACCCAAGTTGAGCTATAAAACACTGTGACATAACTGATAAGATTTTCTGCTGCCGAAGTTCCTCGAAAACCGAGCTTCTGCTACGATCCTCCTAGTAATAACTGATCATGAGAGAAGTTAGTGGTTACTGTTACCTATGGGGACTTCTACGTGTATCGCTGACAAGCGACCATACTTTGTTATCACGGCATATAGAGTCAAAGGAGAGTATTCCGTGCATTTTGAGTCGGAAATTTAACGTGCTGGACAAAACTATTCACGTCTACCTGTTCCATCAGTTTTCCATTCAAAGTCACGAAGGTGCTAGCAGCATGTTTCCGATCTGCATGCAAAGTTTAATTCGCAGATGACCAAAAAACTGCAGCTACTGTTGCCCATCAGCACAAGTTAAAACGTTCTTTGTTCTCTGCTGACACTCAAGAGGGGCTAGGGTACACTAGTAGTTATCTCCAAGTGGCCCTAAAGCCTAGGCGATTGCGTTACAACTAGCATATTCCATGCTATAACTGAGAAGCAATCCTCTCAACCTCCGTTATGTTTAGTAGTAAGCAAAAGCACACCTTTAGAAAACTGACTTAAGTCAATCCATTCCATACTCACGTAAATCAGCCAGTTAGTCACTGATTAAAGCAATCTGAGGAAACCAGTTATTAGTTACTACAATTTCGTCATCATGCTTACAGCTTACCGTTCAATCTTGCTATCTAATCATTATGCTACAACATTTGATATTGCACTCTCAACACTTGAGGTTTCTCCTTCTGCTACGTTGTGTATGTTTTACACTCGCAAAGGGTGCAAAACTCGATAAAATTGATCAGCGTTTTTTAAATGAATTTAGACCATTATCTACACCAACAACCGAAATATTATAGCAGAGGGCGGGTTCTTTATACGACTGCGGTATAGTTCCAGATATTATGGTCCTGGTCTTTTCCCGATTTTAGCAAAACTCTCAACCTTCCTTTCCATTGGCATATGACTACGCTTATGTGTATTACGCGTTATACTACGAGTATGGTCACTTCACTACGCTCTTATGTGAAATTGCTTTATGCCATCCATCCGTTACTTGCGTTTAGCCACTGGAACCCTATGTAATGTTGCGGATGCTAAAGATTCTGCTGAAACGTTTGCAATGTTAGGTGATTTTATTCGCTGGCTCACCTCTAAAAAGACTAAGACCGTCACGTTACCTATACTACTTACCAATGGTAAAGTCACGTTACCCGGTAGCACTACAAGCTCAATAAGCATAGACAGACTACGATCTAACTATTTACATCCTGATCGCATTTACAATACAATTTGTAGGCTAAACAGGGTAGCCAGCGTGTTTAGCCGCAGTAACTGCCCCTCGATTTTTCCCAAATAGTGTTCTTAAAAGAGA